CCCCCCCCCCCCCATTGTCAGGAAGCAGCCAGGTTTTGTTCTTTCCCTGGTAGTGTAGGTGCTGTGCTGCTTCAGGTGTTTGCCGGTGCGAAGTGCTGGGCAGTGAATCCGCTTTGCGGTGACCAGTCCGTGCACTGGAGCAGGTCTCCGGCCAGAGATGGTTAGCGTGGGTGGGCCTTATGTGTTTGATGAAAAGCGACTCACCGCCAGAAATAAGGCCTGTTGCATCCTCTCTGGTCCAGCGCCAAAGAACTTGACGGTGTGGGCCTCCGAGAGAAGGCGGCATCTTCACAGCCTCTTCCTTATCTGACTTTTCAAGATTCTTTTCCCTGATCTGAGGGAAAAGGGCAAGGCGCCAGCTCTGTAGGTAGCAGAATCATGAGAAAGGGAGGTGGTTATCCTACTGGTATGGGGTCGGGACAGGTTGCTAAGCTGTGTTTGGAAAGTGGCTTTGGCAGAACTGAGCAAGGGTGGAGGAGGGGACGTTTTTGAGAATGAGTTGAGATGGTGGAGGGTCTGGAGCACGTCAGGGTGAGGAGTACTACGGATGTCAGGGGGTTGGGATTTCCAGCAAGATAGAAAGTGAAGCCTGTGAAAGGACGACTTCAAACCAGCAGGCCTGGAATTGTGCTCTTAGAGCCTTGATTTCCTAAGCAGAGGACTTACAGAATAAGCAAGTAAAAGGACAGCATAGCTTTGACAACATTTTCAGAGGCCACACGCATTCTTATAAATGATAAATCAGAGTGTACTTACTGTCAGGACCTTAATCCATCCCCTGGGTTTCTCCCTTCTCATTTGTGAGATTCTTTCATCGTTTCATGGTGAGCAGTAAATGAGATGATGCATGTAAATAAAGTGCACAGCAGATTCCCAGCTGGGGTCTGTCTGTTGAGGCTTGACTTTAAGCTGGTGGAGGGAGTGGGAAGAGCTCTAGCTGTGCCTGGTCCTGTCCTTGCTGGTCTCCAGGACCAAGCTCCTTGACTGCTTTTCACAGTTCTTTACTTGACGCAGAGGCCTCCACCTTTCTCAGCCCTAAAAGTAAGGGACTCTTTCCCAACTCTATGTTAAATCTTGTATCTATTTTTCATAACCTGATATTTTTAAAAAAGATTTTTGAAATAAAAAAATGTTTTAAGTTTTTATATCCAAACATATCCATTATTTTAGTAATGTTCTTTCATTAATTTTTTCTAGTGAAATCTTTTAATGACACAAAAAGGAACAGGGAACTGTGACAGTTGTACCGTACTCTGAGACAAGCAAATAATATTTCTTTATGCTTTTGCATTTTTTTTAAGAACTGTGACATTTCAGCTACAGTTGAGATTCTTTTTTGATGCCACCATCCCCCACCCTCCATCCCATAGAACTTGCTTGATTCTAACCTGTCTTTCCATTGTGGCTCACAGGACTTGCCTGGTAGGTATTAGTGTTCACAGAAGCCAGGTGTCTTCCCTTCTCCTTCCCATTCAGCTACTGGTTTGCTTGTCATGAGCGTCGTGACCACCATTTTGGTTCTGTCCTAGTGACATTTGTTCTCTTATTCTCTTAAGAAAATTGCCTTCTCTTTACTCTCCCGGTATCTGTTGGGTGAGTTCATGATAGGCGTTCTCAGACTGTCCCCGGCTGAGGAGCATATGTATTGGGCCACTGTTTCCTTCCACTATCTTTATCCAGGATCTGCTGCTTCTTCACTGCCCTACGGGCAGTCACACTTGGTACACACTTCCAGGAAAAAGTGACCTTCCATAGTCAAATGTACTATCTTTTATAAAATGAGATTTTTAAAATTCACAGTAATAGCTACGATTTTTTGATCATGTAAGTATCAGGCTTTTTAAGCACTCGGTATACACCGTCTTATTTGATTCTCATGTTACAACTTTCATTTTAAAATGAGCAAACTGAGGTTTAGTAAAATTAGATGTTGGCAAAATTTGAGCCTGGAGTCGTTTCTCTATGGTATGTAATTGAAAAGGAAGAATTGTAATAGAAAAGGAGAATTGTTCCATTGTTGGGGCAAAATGAACTTGGGCATTCACATGGGTTCTCTTCAACCTTCCTGCCCCACAGCCCCGGCTCCCTCGGGCGCAGGAGCACCTGGGCAGAGGCTTCCTTCAGCAGGGCCGGAGATGGCATCGGTGGACTTCAAGACCTACGTGGATCAGGCCTGCAGAGCTGCTGAGGAGTTCGTCAACGTGTACTATACCACCATGGATAAGCGGCGGCGCTTGTTGTCCCGCCTGTACATGGGCACAGCCACCCTGGTGTGGAATGGAAATGCTGTTTCAGGACAAGAGTCCTTGAGTGAATTTTTTGAAATGTTACCTTCTAGTGAGTTCCAAATCAACGTGGTAGACTGCCAGCCTGTCCACGATGAAGCCACCCCGAGCCAGACTACAGTCCTCGTTGTGATCTGTGGGACAGTGAAGTTTGAGGGCAACAAGCAACGGGACTTTAACCAGAACTTCATCCTGACTGCCCAGGCCTCACCCAGCAACACAGTGTGGAAAATAGCAAGTGACTGCTTCCGGTTCCAGGACTGGGCCAGCTAGTGGAGGCAAGAAAGGTCTCTGTTTCAGTCCCAGCTCTGTAGGGAAACATAGATCTCAAAATGTGGAGACACAAGTTCCTTTCTGTTACTCCAGGCCACACCACCCCATCTTAACTTTGCATTTTCTGGAGTCCCATGAGCCCCTTTCTGAGCATATTCTTGTTTGTCATAGATGCCTTTTCAAAGTAGTAAACTTTTCTATTTTTCTACTTGTTCAGTAGATATCCTGGTTCTGGAAATTCTGACAAATAAAACAATACAAATGTTGCCTCTTTTCCCTTGCTCAATGTGTTTGTCCAGATTTTGAGGCAGGAGGAATCAAAGGAGGAGTAGAGGCAGGAAGCTTAGTACAAAGTACCTGCAAAGGTGTGAGGTCCAGGACAGAGCACTTACCTGGCTCAGGTGTGCTGGAGTTGGGGCTCTACCCAGATCTCAGGGTAGGCTGGGAATGGTGTTTTATTCCTAAGTACCTGGGTGTTTTAACCTGTAGTTCACTTTTAGAGTACATCAGAATTGCCTAACAGATGGCTGGGTCCTACCTCAGAACCTGAGCTGAGTTGAATGAATACCAACAGGTGAAATACTAAGGAGTTAGTTAATAACTACTTATAAATGAAGCAGCTGTATTAACTACTCTTATAAAGAGGGGTGAGCTGCTTTTAGGGAGACATACTGAGGTGGGGGGAATAGGCATCAGTATTAGAAGCTAGTTTTATTGACCCTAAAGATCAACTCTAATTGCATTTTCCCAATGTAAAAAAAGAATAGAGAACTAGAAGGTTCCATCATCCTGTGACTAATAAAGGAGATCTCATGGCCATGTGGCTTCCCAGTTAAATTTTCTTTGACAAGAGTGTGCTAGTTTTGGGAGAGGTTTGTGGGCTAGAATATTGGAATGGGAACTTTTGAGAAGGAGAATACTGATGTGTGTGGTGGCACAGATGGCAGTTTCCTCCCCACACCCTTCCCCTTCTGTAGTTTCTGAAGCCTGACAATGAGAAGGACAAAGTAACCACCAAAAAGAGGGTTTGATGTATCACTTAAGTTCTGGCTAGTGATGGGAAAGCAGAGGGGGCTTGTGGGAGGAGTTTGCCTTAATAGACCCTTCCTTCCTCCTCACATTTCCTGGAAAGCAGTTAAGGTGGCTTGACCACTGGCTCTGGCTCATTCTGAGCCATGGAGACAGCTTTACCCTAGAGATAGGATTGTGTTAAACTGGAAGGAGCCTGAATCCTTGATGATATGTGGGACCATTCAAATGGCCCTAATTTACCTACACTAATTCTTTTTAAATGAGAGAAATTTTATCTAGAAGACCTTATTGGTTTGGGGTGGATTTCAGCTACCACAGCAAAACCTAATCTCAAAGGAGAGCACAGAATCCTAACCACTAGACCATCAGGGAAACCTAATCCCAAATGAGGACAAAGATTTGCAACAGGGGCAGACAGTGTGTTGTATGGGAATGGCTCTGCTGTGGTACCCTGGGGAACCAAAGTAGACCCAGGTGCCCTCAGGAATTCACAGTCTAATCAGGAGGCAAGACATCAAAATAGTAAAAAAAAAAAAAAAAAAAAAAAAAAAAAAGTCAGTTTCAAAACCACATATAACGAGTGGTCAAATCAGTCCTATAGCTGCATGGCATAGCAAGCAGAGACAAACAGTTCAGCTGAGATGGGGTAAAATACACGTGAGGTTGGAAGTAAGGTCCCAAACCACGAGGTTCCAGTGGGGTTTTTGGACTCAAGCTCTGTTCCATAGGGAGGAGAGTAGAATGGGCTAGGAGGATTAGTGCAGAGACTGATGTGGAGATGGGCTTCAAATCTGAAAGCCCTTGTCCTTAAGGGGTGAGGTAGGATGCCACCTGCTTCACCTCAGCCCTGGATAGAGGGTGTGAGTCCCATCAGGCCATCAGAGAGCTTGATGTGAAATCTCTGGAGTCTGAGAATCATGTTGGCCGGAAAAGCTTCGAGACAGCAGCTGTGGGTGTTCCTGTGGGACAACAGGTTTGGGAAATTAAAAGTAAAGATGGCATTCTGAAGGGCACTAGGACAGACCTCTTAGTGGCTTCCGAATATCCATTTTCCCTTCTTTCAGGAACAATAGAAAGTGGATTCAGTTGAGGAAGGCACTCAAATGAAAGACCAGCCTTCCCTAGACCTCATAGTGTGCCCTGAGACCCGATGGGGTCAGTGAGAGATATGAGGAAGACACATCAGAGAAATCTCCTTGAAAGATTGGGGCAGCCAATCTTTCTTTTCTCCCACCAAACCTTCCTTTACCCTGCCATTTGGAAAGCAGGTGTAAGAATTGATATTCTAAAAACTATTGGGCCATGAGGCTTATTTGGCCACATGCAAGGGGTGGAGGAATGGAAAGCAGGCCCTGGGGTGCCTGTCAATCTTATGAAGCCCCTCATCAGCCTTGGATGACCACCTTTGGTTTCTCAAGGGAAACAAGAAATACACTTCCATCTTCTTGAACCCACTTGTTTGGGGGCCATTTTACATGCAGTCAAACGTATTCATCAGTAACAAACTAGAGAAAAGTATGTACAACAAAGGAAAGGCATAGTATTTCCTTATTATCTAAAGAACCCTTAAATCAGTAAGGAAAAAAAATAAGAAAAAAATAGCACAAGAAAGAACAGGCAAATCACAAAAATATATATGGAAGGGTGGAAGAGAGGGAGGGAGAAAGGAAGGAAGAGATGGAGGGATGAAAGAAGATGAATAACAATTTCCATCCCCCTCCCCATTGTATAGCAACCACCTAAGTGATGGCAGGAGCTACCACCTCCCATCCAATCAGACTGGCAACAGCCAGGAGACCTCAGGCCCCCATGTCTGCCAAATGGGGCCATCAGGGTGCGAGTGTTGATTGCTTCATAAGTTAGGAGAGAGAGGGTGAAGAGAGTGGGGGAGCTGAATGTTTTGGGGGAGAGATTTCCTGAGAGAAAGCTGCCCCCCACAGTTACAAGGCCCCTCAACAGGGAAGTGTGGTGAGGTGCCACCTCCCTTACCCCTAGCCCAGAGAAAAAGGGCTTCAACAGGATCTGCCTAGCTTGACATAGATGGTCTGGGGTCTACAAGTCCCCACTGAATGCAGCCTGAAAGGACCTAGAGCCCAGGCTGTGGCCCCGATCTGGGATACCTGGGTTAGGGAGGACACTGCTGCCATGTTAGGAATGGTCTCCCTTCCCTTTGACATGGAGCAAAGGGGTCTGAACCATGGGAACTAGATGGACAGCCAGTGAGACTGAGGGGACAGGGTAGGAGGATGGGCAGTGACTGCTGCATGAGGTGAGCCTGTACTCAGGAGGAAGCCCGGGTCAGTTTCCCAGGCTGACACGGGACTGAGCAGGGAGCCCAGCCTGGAGGGCATCTCCAGAACTGGGTGATTGGAAGGGCCAACAGGAATGTGGAGATGGTCCTCAGGGTTCCTGAGTTCCTAGGGGAGCAAGAGCCCCCCAGAAAAAGAGGTCTGTTCTCCAAGGGCAGAACACCTCAGTGATGTGAAAGCCCTCAAAACCCACTCACAGGAGAGGAAAAAATCACTAGTTCAGAGAAAGCAAACTCCCCCTACAAGAACATTCACCTCCAAAGGCTCAGGGTTGAGAAACTCAGAGGTGACAGTGGTGGGTTCAGGAGGTCAGAGGGGCGCCTCTGCCTCCTCCAAGATGGTGATTGACCCAGCTGAGGGAAGGGGAAATGCACAGAGCCTTCTACTCATGCTTGAGGCTTTGGGGAGGGAAGTAGAATTAAGGTGAATGCAGGACTGTTTCATCTAGAAGTGAGCATAAGGTGTCATTAGGGTGCTGGTGAAAGTGTCTCCACTGAAGGAACCATGTGTGGCAGCATGAGCTGCCCTCTGGCCCCATCCCAGGAACAGCCCCATCAGACATTATTTGCTCTGTGGGTCTCAGTCTGGTAGACTGACCATCCCAGTTTGCCCAGGACTGAGGGGGTTCCTGGATGTGGGCTTTCAGTGCTACAATAAATAAAATCCTGCAAACACTAGTTGGTTACCCTGCTCTCAGCCCAATTTATGCTGCAGACCAGTAAACCCCACTGCTTTGTGGTCTCTGGAAATGGGGGAGGACGGGAGTGGTAGGGGCTGTGGCCCACAGTGCTGAGAACAGGAGGGCATCAGTCTTTGCAGAGGAGCCCTTGTAGGCAGACATGTCCCACCAGCCACCTGCAACTCCTGAGCACTTTATACTCATGTGGCTGAGGAGCTGCGTTTCTATTTCACTTTAATTACTTTAAATCTGAATAGCCACATGCGGTTGGTTCCTGCTGTGTTAGATGGCATAGGGAAAGCAGAATGGCTGGTCTCAAGACATTCCCAGATAGCTGGGAAACCCAGAGATAAGGAAACAGTGTTACCACCACTGTGGCCTGAGTCTCCAGAGGGGATAGGGAGCTCCTTAGCTGGCATATGTCTCAGAACCCCACAGGTTTCTACAGTCCTTGTAGGGCAGAAGACAGAAAATGCAGAAACCCTCCATGTTCTAAGGAGGGAATTTCTCCTGCCCATCAAGGCTCCATTGAGGCAAAGCTGGAAAGACCTTGTTCCTTGACTTCTCAAGAACATCGGGAAACTTAATCTGCTTCCTCCTTAAAATGAGGCTTCCTCCTTAAATGGACTTGAAACTGTTCTGGGGAAAACCAGTAAATGGAAAGGTAGATGCGACCTAAAGTCAATGCAGACAGGAAGACGTCCCCTGGCTGAGCCACCCTCAGGTAAAGTGAAGGCCCCGCTCCCTGCCTGTGCTCTGCAGGCACTGTTTAGTTGTCACCTGCTAGGTGGGAGAGGGAGGTGAGTCAGGTGGCCAATTGGCTTATTTTCACTGACTAGCACAATTCCCAGAATATTCTTTCTCCTGCCAGGGTCACGTGGGAGTGATTTGCCTGAATCTTCTGCTCTAGCCTGAAGATGAGCTTTTTCACTGAGGAATGCTGTGCACATGTGTGCATGTGTGTGCATGTGTCTGAACTGTGTGTGGGGCCTGGCCAAGGCCACGGGGCCCCTCCCATTTTGCCATAGGTGTCTTACTTCCCCCAAGCACTCCTCCAACCCACCCTCTCCAATGCCAACCACACAAAATTGGCAACATTTCCATTGCATCTTTATTTTTCAGGATTTCAGGA